CTAGGAAGGGTCTCCCCAGAATTATGGGTGCTGTGGCGTCGACCTCACAGTCCAGAATCAGAAAATCAACAGGAAAAACGAACTTGTCAACATGCACGATGACATCTTCGATTCGCCCTTCGGGACGAATATGCGAACGATCGGCTAATTGCAAGATGACTGATGTGGATCTCGCATTTCCTATCCCAAGCTTCACGAAAATTGACTTAGGCATCAAGTTCACACTTGAGCCAATGTCACATAGTGCCTTCCCAATAAATTTATCTCCTATCGAACATAGAATGATTAAACTGCCCGGATCATGTCTCTTTGGTGGCAGCTTGCTTAAAGAAGAGCAAAATTCTTTTTCCGTGGCAATTGTTTCGTACTGCTTAGCCTTTCTCTTCTTGGTAACAATTTCCTTGAGAAACTTAGCATATGTAGGCATTTGTTCCATAGCCTCCAGAAAAGGAACATTTATTTGAAGTTGACTTAGAATGTCAACGAACTTTTTGAATTGAGCATCTTCGTTATGCTTCTTCAGTCTTTGTGGGAAAGGAGACGGGGGTCTGACTTCCTGTACTGACGGAGAGGGAACAGAATTTGCCTTGGTATTTTTGTTTGCCTCCTCAGTTGCTTTACTCGATGAACCCTTATCCTCTTCCACTGGTACTTCTTCCGGCAATTCTTGCTCAACTTGCACGATCATAGGGGGTGAAGCAACCTTCGGTCTTCCCCCAAACTTATCTTCAACATTGATTTGTGTACCACTCCGGAAAGTTAGCACACTGTAGTGTTATTTGCCATGAGGTTTTGTGACTTCAGTGTCACTCGATAGATGTCCTGGTCGTCGTTCTTGTAATGCCGCGATAATTTGACCAACCTGACTCTCCAGCGTCCTTAATGACGAACTACAGATATGAAGCAGATCTCCTTGATTTTTGATGGAGGTCGCATGGTCTTGCAGCATTGTCTTCGTTGTTGTAATAAATTCTTGCATTGTGGCCTCCAAAGAACTGGTGTTTGAGGAAGATGGCCCTCAATTGTTAGAATTATGCCATGGCATATTCGATTGAAATCCCTGTGAGTCATTGAAATTCTTCTGTCGAGCTGGTTGATGAGCATTGCTGATTCCTTGATTTCCCCATGAAAAGTTTGGATGTTGACGCTATCCAGGATTATATGTGTTGGAATAGGGGTTGTTGTTGCCTCGATTGAAGTTGCCAACATAATTGATGTATTCTTGATTAGTCGGACAGTCACTCTCATTGTGATTACCGTGGCATAATAAACATGCTGAATGGGTTGCCTTCACTTCTCTCACCTCGCTTGGCCTTTGCAAATTCTTCAACATGTTCGTGATAGCAGCAAATTGGGCGGACACTGTATCTTTGGAATCTAGCTCGAAAGCTCCATGTGTTTTTCGCCCAAGTCCAAGCCTTGTGGATGGAAGTTGATAATCGTTGGTGGCAATCCGATCTAGAATGTCAAATGCCTCTGCTGGTGATTTGTCAAGTAACGTCCCATTTGCTGAGGCATCTAGCATCATCCTTGTGGGTGCATTAACTCCATTGTAGAACATCACCACTTACGTCTAATCTTGAAATCCATGATTTGAACACTTACGAAGCAAGCTTTTATATCGGTCCCAGTACTCATACATTGATTCGTCATCAGCCTGACGAAAAGAAGCAATGTCGTTCCTCAGTTGGGTGTTTATGTTCGGAGGATTATACCGCAGCAAATGTTTTTTGTACAGATCAGTCCAAGACTCCATTGAACCCGCTGGAACGCCACTCAACCAAGACCTTGCTCGGTCACGCAGAGAATACGGAAATAGCTTTAATTTCAAGACATCTTCGTGCACTCCTTGTTGGCGAAATGAATCACAAACCTCCAAGAAGTTACGAATGTGCTGCCTGACATCTTCATTTGGCATGCCCCCAAATTTCCCTATGGAGTTCAGCATATTGAACATGACAGGTTTAAGCTCAAAGTGGGCTGCCTAAATTTCTGGTGCCACAATTCCAGGATTTAAATCATCTAAGATCGGGTTTAAGTGATCACGAATGACACGAGGTCTGGCTGCATTCCCAGTATTTGGAATTACCTCGACATTCTGATCATCCTCATGACCAATGCCTTGATTTCCGATTTGATACATATTTGCACGTTGATCACGTCTTCTTCTCCTAAAGAGCCTCTCGATCTCAGGTTCAACCAATTATAATGGCTCGTCCGAATGTCTTCTGGTCATACACCGCAAAAAACCTGAAATAGATAAAGAAAATAAAAGTAAAGCTATCTAAAAAATAAAAATAAAATATAAACAAGTAAAATAAAAATGCTATTACAAAACTAATTAACTTCCAGTTGCCAATCCCCGGCAACGACGCCAAAAACTTGTCCGCTTTTTGTGAGTACTATAAATGGTGCGGATATGTGTGCAAGTATACACAATCAAACAAGTAATAAAGTGATGAGTGAGTATCGTTCTCCACAGGGATTGGGGGAAATCAATTAAGTTTGTCACGACACTTTACTCTGTCACTTAAGTAATGTTAGAGATGGTATATACAAATGATGATGCTGGGCAAAATGAATGGATGATATGGAAATGGAACGATGGCAATGTGGTAGCAGATGAATATGTTGTGGCAAAATGGATTGTGTGTAGTGCGATCAAATAAAAATGTAAAGGTAAAATAAACTATAAATACTGGATTTGCTTATAAGAACTTTAGACTTCTCACACAACAAGTTACTATGGGAATGAGTGATGGGAGTTACCTAGGAAAATCTAAGTCCACTTCTCAGAATAGTTTTACTTCTATGCCTTAACTGCCCGATATAGTTTACTAAGGGTGCCCTATGCTATCTCTAGTTAAGGGACTCGACAGATTGAAGATGCCTTGGCAAAATCGATTGGCGTTAGCTACTGCAGGGATCCTATTGGTCCAGATAACAGAATATGTCTCAGCAATACCTTGTTGCGGCAACATTAACATCTAACCTATCGCTCATGCACAACTTCTTTTAGTCGAATGAAATCCTAGCCTTATCTCTAAGGTGGATTAGGCCTAGTTACTATCTAGAACCCCTTGCTTATGTGGTTCCTCCTTAGTTTCTCTCGAATACTAAGGATGTGCTACTTAGATATTCTCTTGAACACTTAGTATCACCAGGAATGACTACTCTCATAGCTCCTACAACCTTAAGGTATTAAATTCATAAGCAAAAAGATTATAACATAGAAAAACAATCATTCATTAAAGTAAATCTTAAATATCCAAAATAAACTCCCTCCAAATAGGATTAGTTCATGGTGGAGTTTGAAATAAGCAAGCACAAAGCAAGTTAATCTATTCCTTACAACCCAAATAATAAATAACGAAAGCAAAGAGCAAAGGGAAGGAGGAAAAGCCTTCGACGTGCACTACCGGAGCTTCCCTCGGCCACCACGAACAGTCCTAGCGATCTAGCTCCTCTCGGACGCCTAGAACGCCACTCGCTCTAGCCTGTCAACGGAGGAATGCCACGGTAAAAATGATTGACGGGAAAAAGAGAGAACTTTTTCTCCGAATTTTTACGCTCTTGGCGGCTGTCTAAAAATCTCCAAATCTTTTTAAAAAGTCAGGCTTCATCTTCTATTTATAGGGGAGAATGAACCTAGGGTTTTGTGTTAAAGATGGTAATTGGCCCCTCATTTAATGTTGATTGCAGAAAGCACTTTTTTATGCCGTGACAGCTGGCTCTTACTAAAAATATTTTTCTCTCGTTTTAATCGCTCTCGAAATGCCAACTGGTTCGACATTTGCATTTTGCTCAGCAGTCTCCTTATGTCACGGCATTTCCCTTTTGCTTTTCCTTGCTCCCAAATCCTGCACATCACCAGAAAAACACCTTCCCCATAAAGCAGCACTGATTACAAAATAAAATGTCGCGGCAAACATAATTTCACCACATGCAACTATATGCTCCTAAATGCATCTATATGATCCTAAATATGATCCTAAATGGGCTCTTAGTCAGTCAATAATTTAAGTGAAAAGGTCTCAAATATGACCTTTTTACGGAGTTATCATTGTTTCATTTTGGGGCAGTCACGAAATGCATGCAAAACGGATTCCGACTCTCCACATAAGGAGCAATGTGGTAATCGATCTTTTAGTACGCTCCAAGTCGGTCATAAGTTTTCCATGGAGTATTGTCCAAAGGAAGACATGAACGTGTTGTGGTGGCTGCATTTTCCAAACCATTTCCCAGTTTTTATCGCCACCAAGGTTGGATAGGCGGAGGAAACACTAAACATTTGGTCAGAGGTGTTCAGTTCCGCCATATACAGCTATCATCAACGACAGTCAACCCTAAAATTAGGTCACTAAACTTTTAAAATATGCCTAAAATAGGGTAAAATATAGTAATGGTCACTAAACTTTTCTAAAACTTTCATTTAGGTCCCCAACTTTTAAAACTTGCAATACAGTCCCCCAACATTTAGTCCGTTTGTAATATGGTCTCCAACATTTAGTCTGCTTACAATATGGTCCCCGAAGTAACTGTTGAGAGACCATATTGCAAATGAACTAAATGTTAGAAGACTGTATTGCAAGATTTAAAAGTTGAGGGACTTAAATAAAAACTTTAGAAAAATCCAGTGACTATTACTATACTTTACTCTTATAATTATTTGTAGGTCATAATAATATATATAATAATCAATTTTAAATTTTGTTTTTGATATGATGATAATCTATTAATAATTCTATCTAAGTAAATCTATTAATAATTCTATCTAAAGGTTTTAGTTATGTACGGAATCTATCTAAAGGTTAATAGCACTCATTTTCGAAAGTTACACGGATCATTTAACAACTCCGGTCGACGAAAGGGTTATTTATGACTTTTGACTGTCGGAGAGCTGATAAAAAATTGGCCTCGAAATGGTATGGGAAAAAATATCGATTGAGAGCAGAAATGTATAGAACACGCGCGACCAGAATGCGTGATGGGACCCTATTGTCGACGAATTGACCTATAACTGGCGGGAGCCTTGCCTGGTCGAAACTTCACGCACCCAATCATCTCTCGCTCTCTATGGCGTTAAAATCTCACTATTAATCAAAACTATTTTTTTTCTCCAAAACCCTTCCAAATTCCAATCTTTAAAACCGATTTCGCCCATTGTTCTCCGCCTCTTTCTTTCATCATTTACGTTCCTTTTTTCCATTATTGAATTCTAGGGTTTGGTTTGTATCTTAATTGAGAATTGAAAAACCCTAGTTTTTCCTTCCCTTTTCTTTTGGCTCTTCTTTTTGCGGATAAAAAGTGACAGAGTTGGTGTAGCGTGGTACATTCTGATCAGCCAGTGTTGCCGCCGCACGGAGCTGTTTCGCTCCCAATGTCATCATCGTCGCGTAAGGAGTGGCGTGCCATTTCCGAACATCACCCGGTTCGAACCATGGGGATGAAGTGGTAATTTCATTATTGATTAATACGCTTTTTTTGTATTATATGGGTTCTGGGAGGATGTTGAATGGAGAACGAAAATTCCTCATTGTTTGGGCTCTATGAACAAGTAAAAAGTTACGTGTTTGGTTCAGTTTTGAGTAGTGTTTGGGATTCTTCGCTGTTCTCTCTCAGCAAAAATTAGCGTTTTTAAGGAAAAACTAAAAGTCCTTATCCTTATGGTTCTCTTAATTTGTATACAGTTTTTAGTTTTTGTATTAAGTAAAAAGTTATTTTGCACTTGGAAAGGTTTTCTGAAATAAAAATTGAGACGGGTTTATCAATGAGTCGTTTATGAACCTATGGGCTTAAGTTTGCATTTTGATGCAGTAATTAGATCATTTGGTTCACTTTGGTGACAAGTTTCTGGTCCATTGGTTGTAATAATTTGCAATGTTAATTGGGTTCACATCAACTGGATTAAGTGTTTATGTAATCTATGAGCTTAGTAAGTTTTTGGGTTTACTGTTATGGGGTAATGTCCAGTTGTGAGTGGCAGAATGATCATCAAGTTATGTCGATCAAGCTGTGAAATATTATTATTCATAGAATATTGCTTTCCATTTTGTTTGATTCAGTTTTCTTGCAATCTGTAGGAAATGGACAGATCAAAGATGGGGCAATCAAATGAGAGAACCATATATGAGGTATCTTAAAATTGATTCTATTCTGATTTCTGAGAATGATGAGTAGTGAACATTGTTGAATGCTTATCAAGGTGCAGCATGGAAGAGAGCTTGCTGATGTTAACTTCTCTATCGCGGTGATGGAAGTTTAGATGATGACATGTTACAGCAGCAAATCCACAATATAACTAGACAAAGAGAAGAGCTCCTGCAAATGGAGGTTAAATTCCGAGCTCAGGCAATTGCAAGGTCAAGGGTCCTGGAAATGCAGAGCAGCTGTGATGCTAAAATAGCTGCACATGCCAATGCTGTTGCCAAGCTTGAGGTTTGGATTTAGAATGTGATTCGCAGTATGTTTGTTCTGCAATTCAACTTTCAGAGAAAAAAGAAAGTTTTAATTGCTTTATGAATGATAATATGATCTTGATTTGAACAAGAAGGCAAAAATATATATCAGATTATAAACATTAAGTAATTTATGTCATCATGTGTGTTGAAGTCAATGAGTTTGTGACTTCCAATCGTATTTTTCTATATTTGATTCATAGGAGCAACTCCAGAGAGAGAACAGACCATACATGATTTGGAAGGAAATGAAGAGAAAGATGCATGCCATCAAATTGATAAAGAAGAGTTATTCATTTTCTTATTCTGCTTTTGGACGAGATTTGTTTTTCTTTTAAAATAAGTGTTGTGCTTAGCAAGTCGTGTATAAATTAGTGATTATTGGTTATCTTGGCAGGCCTGGGCAAGGAGACCTTCTCAGAGAGCAAAACAAGGAACTGGCTACTTTCAGGTCTGTATTTGTGTTTTATTTAAGGCCTTTTTAGTTGTGGTTAACATAACGCTATAAAGATTACCATCCCATATGAATGTTTATCTGTATTTCCAGTTGCTGTGAGACTGATAACACTGAACTTTTCTAGATCTATCCTAGGATTGAGAAGTTTATTAACTTGGTATTATATCTGAATGACATTCCCAAATGGTTAGCAGCTTCTTTTGTTGGTTTCTGCTTTTAATACATTAAACTTGCAGCTGAAGTTTGAATCTTCTGAAACTATTATGAGTCTCTTGTTCTTCTTCTTTTGGCAGAAGAGACGTGATCATTCAGAAGCTGAGAGAGCCCAACATATAAAACAGATACAAGATCTTCAAGAGCATGTTCAAGAGAAAGAAAGGCAGTTTATTGAGTTGAAGGAACAGGTCCATACACTTTCTTGATCTTTATCCCTCCTTTTACTATTTGTAATTCTGGAGATTAAGGTGTGAATATTGTTACACTTTCCTGATGTGCATCTTTAGGTTATTGAAAATTACAATAAACAGATTGTTTGTGTTGGAAATTTAAGCATGCATCAATTTCAATTAAGTAATTGTTTATTGCTAAAGGCATCAAGCTGCATTTTCTAATGGTAGTCATATTCTTCAGTATAGGGCTGCTCAAGAAGCCATCCTTTATAGGATGAACAGTTAAGAGAAGCCCAAATTTGGATTTCACGTGTCCAGGAGATGGATGCTTTGCAGTCAAGTACAAACCATTCCTTACAGGCTGAGTTGCGAGAACGTACAGAACAATAAACCAGCTCTGGCATGGCTGTCAGAGACAGGTATATGAGCTGTTAGTTTCATGTTTACATGTTTCTTTCCTTGAATGAATAGATTTGATATTATTTTCAGCAATTTAAGTTTCCCTTGTTTGTGGTTGTTAAGTTAGTTTGCAGAGATGGAGAGACTTCATTTGCACACATAATCAGCTTCAACTTGAGTTGGCTGATGTTAGAGAAAGAATGGTTCCTATACTGATGAATCACATATGTCCCAAAGAAAATCAAAGATTTATCTCAATTTGTTCAAAATAACGAACAACAAGTGGATTCTAATGGAAGTGGTGCTGCAAATGCTAGTACTGCAGTCATTTCAACTGGAGCTTTAGACAATGTTCAATCGTTGGTTCAGCTAGCAATGCACCAAATCCGGTAAGATTGCTGGCTTTTCTGAAGTGTCATTGCTGAATTGTGTTGTAATTTGAAACTTAATATTTATAACCATCTATATTATAGGTGTATCTTCTTCATATGGTAATTTATCTCATTACCAAAATTTGATACAACTATTCTTTAGTTTTTTGGTTAAACCTTCCCCCCCCCCCCCTACATTTTATCTAACTTATGGCTTGAGGTGGTGCTCGCAAACTCATTTTTTGGAATTTTATTTGTAATGCTTAGGCTTTTATTTAATGGTCAATTTGTGATCTTTTTTGTCTTGTCCATAACTTGCTCTATTACTCTTTATCTTGTTTCTTGTGAATGACTGTTTACTGCCAGAATCAGAATGACCATGTTCCAAGTGTTCCGATTGCTCCAGTTGGGATGTCTACATACTCTTCCCACCTGGGCAGGTGTCTACCCTGCATCCTTTTATCATGCAACACCAGGGAGTTTCCGCATTCTGTGGCATCTCATGTTGGACACTACACAATGCCAGATTCGTCATCCATCCAACAGTGGCAGAACCAAATGGTATGGTCAAACCTGTACATTATCAATTTTTCACAAGGTATTCTTTGTTATATGTAATTGGTTTTCATCCTGTTTTCCAGACTTCGGATTTACAGCTGTCCACACAGGATCATAATCCAGCATCCCAAAACTGATCAAAACCTTGGCAGGTCAAATGTAACAAATGAATATGACATGTCTGTCAATGGACAAACCATTCGTCAGACTATCTAGAGCATGTAAGCAAAGGGTCAGAGCTCGGTTCTGTGATATCATCATCTTGTGGAAAGAACAGGTTCTTTAAATCAAAATCATTCCACTCACTGTACTTGGCGTTGTTTTATCTGTTATTGCAACTTACTGAGACCATTTCTTTTCAGGCTGTTGAGTCAATTAATGCAAGTTACCCTGTGGACCCCCAACCTGAACCAACCTTGCCACAAGTTTTTTCACAATTTCATGAGGCATTAAGATTGAGCTCTGAACCCAAGGTTTATCAATTTGGTTAGTCTTCAAGCATTTGGGAATTTTCAGTTCTAACCTCTCAATTTGAACTTGGACAGGAACAGAATATTCTGAACATGAATAATCATGTGCCGGAGGATCAAATTCTAACAGCAGAGGAAACAATTATTACTGCTGGCCAGCCCATCTCATGATGCAGTGCATTCTGTTGATTTCTATGAACAACAGTAAAAATGGAGCTGTTGCTATTTTGCCTGAAAAGCTTGTGTCAACTGGGCAGTCTAATTACTCGATATCAACTAATACCTCAAAGACAGCTCTGCTTGATGAAAGGTCATTGTTGGCATGCATTGTTCGCACAATTCCAATGGTGGCAGAATTTGGGATCAGTTCCACGGTTGGTCTGCTTATAATTTTTCACGGGTCAAATTACTGGTTTTAGGTCCTGCATGAATGGGGTTTGACTTGTATCTTTCAATTGCAGCTACCAAATAGGCTCGAGAAAATGCTCGCACCTTTACACTGGCATGATTACAAAAAGCTGTATGGCAAGCTGGATGATTTTGTAGCCGCTCACCCTGAGGTTTGTTTCTTGCAGCATTTACGTTTCTTTTTATAGGCATGTGGTTTGCACTTTCTGAAGATCTGAAATTGTGATTACAGTTGTTTTTTATTGAGGGCGATTATATTCAGCTTCGAGAGGGGGCACAAGAGATGATAGCAGCCACTGCTGCTGTTGCCAAAGTTGCTGCAGCAGCTGCAGCCTCATCTCCTTACTCCCCAGTTTTGCCTTCTGTTGCTGTTACTCCAATGGCACAGCCTAATCGACTAAAGAAGGGTCTCCCATCAGCTGATTCCAACCATGTCAAGAATGAGAATGCTGCTTTAAAGGGTATGCAGTCATCTCCAAAAAGGCAGCTGATGATCATTCACAGCTATTAGGGATGCAGAATCAACAACCAAAGGAATCACTTTTGGTTTGGCTGGAAATCTCTCAAATGTAAAAATATTGAGCAAATCTAATGGGGCAATTTTGAGAGATCTAGTGCGACTAATGTTGGTAGGAAGGCCTCTGGTCTTGGAAGGTCTAACTCTAATTTTTCTGGAAAGCAGCAGGGCAGGTATGTGGCGTAAAAACATGCAGACTGCTGCTGGTCATTTATAAGTGTATGTTTTTTATGCCTCAACTAATTAAGCTTAATTATCTTGTTCCGTGGCAGGGCTGGGGGCAGTATTGTCTTCTAGAAGATAGTGAGTCCATTACCTCAATTTAATTACTGTTTGATTGTTGCATTATTTGTGCTGTTTCACCAGTAATTCCCGTTTCCAACAAGATAAATTTGAAGAATCTAATATAATGAAGAAACTGTTATGTGCACTATAGCATTAAATTTTATGTTTCTGCTTTCTGGGATTGATATAATCTGAGGTGTCTGGGGTGGTCTGAAATAGGATAATATATGATTTTGCACTAAGCAATTGTACATTCGTATTGGTTTGTGAAATATTCAATGCAGAACCATGATAAAGTGAATTATTAGAAGAATTTCGTAGTTTTTGTAATCATCATATAACTAACGTGACTAGAAGAATTACAGATTTCGTTTTGTTGTGGCAGGATTACAGATTTGCAATGCCGAGGGATACTGCAAGCATATTGGGATATGATTTGTAGTTAAATGCATGTTTTTGGTATTGGTGATCTGCAAAATCTTTTGCACCCGAGAAAGATGTGATTGGATCAAGAGCCCTGACATTTAAATTGTTTTGCGCCCTGTCTGTTATAAAACATTGCATTTTGTTGTCATACTGAAGCTGCACATTTTATTTCCGATCTATATATCCCTGCACCAGTTTTTAGAATCTTAAGCAACTAAAGGCAATGGTGATACAACTTGGTTTGCCTTTTGGACGCTTGAATTCCAGTCGAAGACTACAATAAACAAGTAAAAATGCTATGCTGGCAGCAAGAAGAGTGAATAGTCCTAGAGATTGTCCTTATAAAAGTGGGAGTTGAAGTGACAAGTTAAAAGGTATTAAGCATGGTTAAATGGTGTCGAATCAACCGTCCAAATGATTTCAGTGATTGTGGTTAATGATTGAGTGATTGATTTATTAAAAAATGATAGAAACCTTAGTTTAAAAAATAGACTTGCCGGTACTTCGGTTTCCGTGACATTTATCTAGTTTTACCTAAAAATTTAAGGGAAAGTATAGTAATGGTCATTGAATTTTTCTAAAGCTTTTATTTAGGTCTCCTAATTTTTAAAATTACATAATATCACTGAATTTTTCTAAAGCTTTCATTTAGGTCCCCCAATCATTCCTATAATTATTATTCTTATAACTATTTTTAGGTAAACTACATAAATGTCATTGAACTTTTCTAAAGCTTTCATTTAGGTCCCCAACTTTTAAAACTTGCAATACAGTCTTCTAACATTTAGTCCGTTTGCAATATGGTCCCCCAATAGTTACGTCGGGGACCATATTGCAAACGGACTAAATGTTGGGGGATTATATTGCAAGTTTTAAAAGTTATGGGACCTAAATGAAAGATTTAGAAAAGTTCAGTGACCATTACTATACTTTACCCATTTTAATATAAAGAGACAAGAAAAACCTAGACAAATACAAACAATGCCTAGACACAACAAAAGGGAACGGTTTCACATTGAAAATTTCAAAGCATCCATGAAATAAAATTCAGTAGACAAATTGTCTCAAAATCCTGCAAGAAAATTAACAATTGTAAAATAATTTAATGTTCTTTAACAATAAATAAATTTTGGATAATATCTTATAGTTATCGTTCAATGAAGTAATGCATTAAAAAAATTAAAATATTATTAGATTTTTTTTAGTAAATGCAAATTTCATTTTTCCAAGGGTAGCCAACCTATTACAAATAAACAAAGCAAGTATTCACTGTACAAACAGCCTATACCGAACCAGCATTAGCATATTCCATTCTATGTACAACCTATTATTAATTGAAGTAAGTCTATTGATATTTTTATCCAGCAATCGCCACCCAATCGTATCCCGAACTTGAATAACCAACTCATGTACTGATCTTTAATTCCCTTGAAATAACTTCGTATTCCTCTCCCGCCAAACGGGTAAATGACCGAATTCTACGCAATCTTTAGTAGAACAGTGAGGAGAGACTTCCCCTTAAGTTTATTGATCGCCCAATTGAATTCAAAGCCCTGGCCTCCAACCCCTGCTTCAGATTGCAAGCAGCCCAGGTCAATACTCAAAACCTCTTTTGAATAAGAATACCAGAAGAACACATGATCTCGTATTCTGATCACCATCACAGAAAACTCAGTCACTCTCAACTTGCAGATCAACAGAGAATAGCCTATCTCTCGTAGCAATCTATCTAAATAACCATAAGCAATCATAGAGTGTCGCAGGATGTGCAGGGTGTGCCAGACCAAGTTATGCCAGGGAACTTTCACATTTCTAACTCTGACAGCAGTCCAAATTCTATCAAAAGCAATTCTAGAACATGATTATTAGATTTTCATTACACTCGTGTGATTATAATATAGATATGGTTTTTTTCATTATGATATTAAAAGAAAGGATCACTTAAAAGAAAGGTTATTTTAGTAGTTTTCTAATTGAATTGACGACCGAAATTTAATAATAGTATCGATTAAGGACTTGTTTAAAAAATTATTATGTAGTTAGGTTTTAGTGTAATTATACAGTTGTGCGTATTTAGTTTAGATAATTATCATAATTTATTTGTTTCTCTGAATCAGGTAATAATCGAAAGCACGTAATTATATTCTTTAATTAATAGGAAGGATATGATATAGTGTTACTATATTTAATTTCATATTAATATTTTTAAATATAAATGTATATAAATATATAATTATAACTTATACTATTAAATATGATATAGAATATTATAATGTGATTATATTATTTTCAATCATTCATATATAATTATAAGAATAATAATTACATATTTTCATACAAGTGCAAACATGGTTTAAAAGTTTACAACCATCATGAGTGAAGTTATTTTTGACGGGATAAAATAAAAATATTTATTATTTTGACAGTGAAAAAAATACTTATTTTTGTTGAAATATTTTTAATATATAAATTTTAAATTCGGACCATTTCATGATCGATGCAGGTATGGGACAATAATCCAAAAAAAAGGTAAAGTATAGTAATGGTCACTGAATTTTTCTAAAGCTTTCATTAGGTCCCTTAACTTTTAAAACTTTCAATACAATCCCCAACATTTAGTCCGTTTGCAATATGGATCCCCCAATAGTTACGTCGGGGACCATATTGCAACGGACTAAATGTTGGGGGATTATATTAAGTTTTAAAAGTTAAAGGACCTAATGAAAGCATTGGAAAAGTTCAGTGACCGTTACTATACTTTACCCAAATTTTAATCTTTCCCTAAAACCATTCTTCACCATTAGCCTCGTCAATTCTCATTTCACAGCTTCCCTCAACTGAAGCCAGCAACATTGTCTATCCTAATGAATGCTCATATCCGTGACATTTCCTTAATTACTGAAATAGTTTAATTCACGCTTCAAATTTAATCTAGAAATGGGCCTAAGACTGCGTCAGTGTCATTAAATGCTGCCTACTTAGTATCCTATGTGATTCTGCCGTAATGCTTTCCTTTTTAAAGTTTCAAAATGTCATGTGGGCCACGATCAAGGGTGGGACCAAAGTTATCTTCTTGCTCTGAAAGTGAAGGTTCAATAATGTTTTACGTAAAGACAACAGACATTAATTTTCGTTTTCTTTGGTGGTCCTGTGAGGTTATGAATGAACTTGCTAATATTTACTTATGAGTTATGTAGTATTAAATTATGGTTTGTAATTATAATTATGGTTGTGGTGTTGCAATTGTAAATATTTTAAATGTTATGATGTGGTTTATTTTAAAAAAAAATTAAAATTTTATATTGTAATGAGATTTATAATCGCGATAATTTTAAAAAATATAACGGTGTTATTGTTACATTATGTTGCAACTATAGTAAATACTTCTTATGATGATAATGGCAGCTTTAATCATCAACTTCAAAATAAACATACTTCTCGAGTCACTGTTGTCCATGACTACCATTATCATCTACATGCAGTTCTAGACATAGCTTTTCTCATTTTCGTAGCAATGGATTATTTTAAAAGGAGTAAGTAATTTTATATTAAGGTAAGAAGCAATAAATGTATAAAAAATATCTAAAATATAAGATAATTTAAAATTTTTAGAATAATGTCCTTTCATCATCCCTAATCACTCCCTCGGTTTACCTCAACCACTTGCTAATATCATTTGTTGGAGGTGGAAAGATCTCTTCATCAAGACTATCTGCATAACAAGAAGGCATGATGTGTTTATATTATGGCCTCCATGGCTGCTCTTATAGCTTGAACTTCTCGAGTTATAATCATAAACTTCATATTTAATGCTTTCATCGACACCACCGACTGGGAATGACGAACACTTTTTGGCTGATCCCACTTTCTCCCTTTCGGGGGTTGACGGTGGCCTATGATTTGCTGCACTTTGTGACCGAAACCGAGCCATATTAGATGCTGTGGCCGCCATGTAGTTAGGCACTGCAGCAGCATTGCTGCTCATTCTATGATTGTGTGTATGAGCTGGTAACCGGTGGATCTTGTCTTCTTTGACGCATCGAGGGCTAGCTGCTGAGTAAATTTGGAGAGGCTTTGCCTTCGCCGGGGACGGTGGGATTGAGCCAGTGGTGGTTGAGCGAGTATGGCCTAAAGGTGTCGATTTCAACAGTTTTTATAGGATCTATGTGATCAGATAACATCCTTCCTCTACTCTCCCATTGCTTCTTTGCTATTGCATACAATAACACTTGCTATTGTTATAATCACGATAACGCAACTGCAACCGTAATTTAAATCGGCTTGAACAAGAAGATCCTTTTCACGCTTCATGGTATTGGTAGCTAGCTTTGTTTTCTACAAAATGGCTTGAATCTCCTTGAGTATTTTCGGGTGCTCGTCCCAATGGATCCATCATCGTCATTGTTGCTCTCTTCAAGATGCCTGGTGCTGTGATCACTGCAAATGGAGTTTGTGTGCGCAGAAATATTCTTACGTTGATCACGAACCTGTGCTTGCACTCGAAGCATGGCCTCCATGCATCTGAGAGTAACTTTTGCTCGCTTTCGAACATTGTGGCCTCTCACTAAAGCTTGCAGCTTCATCAGCCCCCTGAGTGCTCCAAGAGCTCTCCTTGCCTTCAAAATCACAACCATTTTCTTACTCCAAAATTCCACTCTAAATTACACAAATTATTATCAATTTTTTATTTTAGGGTAAAATATACAAATGATCCATTGATTATATGATGTTATTTTGTCGAGTCTCCGATTATTAAAAATTATAAAATAGTCACTTGACTACTCATATGTTTTATTTGAGTAGGACATTAATTTACTGATTGAGATATGATAAAATTTGATTCTAGAGCTCTTTGAGTTTTATTTTGTGGATCGAGTCTCCATTTATATTATATCGTCGAGCTAGTCGGCAGGTTTATATAATGTAAATGGAGATTCGAGTCATAAAATACAACTCAAATGGTTCTTGGATCTTATTTTATTATATCACAATCATTATGTTAAAATCTAGCTCAGATGAATATCAATTTTTAACAAAAGAAACCGAATTTGAAATGTATGAATAATCGATGACGATTTTATATCTTTTAATAGTTAGATACTTAACAAAGTAACTTGGATCATTTTGTACGTTACCGGTTACCCTTTATTTTACCAGATATCCTCTGAAAGCTGTCTGTATAACAATGGCAACAAAGTGTTCTCTAAATAAAATACGCGGCCTGGTGAGCCGAACAACTTCCACAGCAGCTTCTGCTGTCGCCACGGCTGCCTGAGCAGCAGCTGTTGTGGCAATGGCATATGATCTTTGCTCAGCTTCTGGTAGTGTAGTTATGGTACTTGCTTCATCGTGTTGAATCACTGTTTCCTGATACGTAGGCTTCTTGAAAATCCACCTTCGCTTCCATCTTTCTGTCCAAACCAAGAAAAGAAAACTCATTCAAAGCTCACATGCAAAAACATTGAAGAAAAATCAAAGAGAGATTAAAACCTTGTCTTCTCCTCTTGTTTACCATCTTCTCTCCTCTACAGCTCTTGGCATTTTCCTTACAAGGAGACCTAAAAGCTTTCTTCACTGCACTCAACCATGACTTACCTCCAATCTTCCCATTGAAGAGTCGACACAAAAGGAAAAGCTAAATGAGAAAATGGAGGAATAAGGGCACATAGCATACCAAGGTTTAGCTACTCATTGTTTTGCATTTTGGGAATAATTGGAACAGTCTCCGCATATTATATTAAGCTATCATAAAGTTAAGGTAAACTGTACCTATAACCACTTAACTATTATTTATTTTATTTTAAACTATCGATCTTTCAATTTGATCAATCAAATCACTTAACTAAGGATGATCCGAGGGGGCAGGTGGAGCAATCATCCCCTGAAAATTAGAAATAACCATTTATTTTATATTTTTTTTACATATTTTCTATTGAAAATATGTTTTCACCCACTGAAATTTTATAAGTTCGTCATCTCTTAAAATTGTATAAGTTTGTCTTCAAACATAAAATTTTGCATCCGTTCTTGCACTTAATTATTTAAGTGTTGCCAATCGAATCACTTGTCGTTAACTATCAATTTAGTCATTGATATTTATACATTCTATCAATTTAGTCTTAATTTAATTTAAATATATATATATATATATATATATATATATTAATTTATAATAAATTTATATAAATTAAATTTAAATATGACCAAATTGATAGTTTGTGTAAATATTAACAATCTTAATTGTAACAATTTTTCAATGATGATGTTACCTCATCTATTAAATTATTAATGAAAAGTGATTCGATTGGAAATAATTAAATAATTAAATAATGATAATAGTTGGATGGATGTATATTAATTATTAACGAAAACAATCATTTAATTATGAGATTGATATTGATATGATAATTATATTTTTAATTTTTATAATATAATTACATAATTATTTAAATAATTTCAAAGTAATTATTTGTAGGTAAAAAACAAATGACGTAGTTAATGTAACTGTTATTACCTAAATTCCTAGCACCAAGAAGCAAATTTTCAGCTCCAAAACTTTTGAAAGCAACGACGGAAGATGGAGAACTAGTGATAGTGGAAATGGGGAGTAACTGCTCAGCACGACTTCGAAGATTATAATGGCCGACGGCGATGACAACAGCAGAAGAGTAAACGAGTATGGTTTTTGAAGCAGAGTAGGATTAATAACATTATGAAGGGAAGGATACCGGTGCAGAGCATGAGTTTACCATGCAATTATGGGTACCAAGGTTCCTTGGATTCGAATACAAGTCAGTTGTTGACGACAGCTTTCAATTTTCCCGTGCAATTGTTGGTTCAGACGGAGTGAATGCATGCCAATAATGACTGTAAATTAGTATGTGCTTGATTCAGCACGTAGGAAATTCTATAAACAATGTACAAAGACAAATACCATACCTATGTACAAAATTAACATTATACTTAATTAATATTAGTTGGTTTTAGATCCATCACATGGCCTCAGTTGTAAAAGATAATGTTATTCTCTCTAGAGGTTTAGTGTTCGAACAGTTGCATTTGTAGGATGTGTGTATTATCAATAAGTTGAAAAAATTATGAACATATATTATGTTGTAATCACCTCAGACTATTGGTCAAAATAGACACTGTTAGATGGAAACCGTTAATTAACTAACGATCAACTTATATTACTGACGTGACACGTAACATATCATAATTTTTGGTGACATGACATATCATGTCATTACTTTTGATGATGTGACACATGTCATACAATTACTTTCGTTGACGTGACATATAAATATCATTACTTTTATTGACGTGTCACATATCACATTTTTAATTAGGCATATGTGAAAATACAACGTTAGCAATATGGGTTGACTGTTAGTCAAATAATATTTTATCCAACAGAGTTATTTTGATCACAAATTAAAACGTTAAAAGATAAAATACTAAAAAAAAGAATAGGGGACAGAGAGACTGATTGTGCAAACGATAATTTTTGTCATCAAGCTTTTATTTTAGTGCCTTTTCTTTCTTCGTGTTATATTCATTCGTCTGGCGGGCATAAAAATGGCAAGGAAAAGAGGAGCCAAAAGGAATATTGAAGGCTTTTGAAGACAATAATCTCCTATATTCTTGTTTTCTCTTTTGTTCTTTTCTCAGCTTTTTAAGCAAAAGAAAAAGGAAACCACGACCGACATGGTCTTGTGTACATTTAAGAGAATCTAACATTAGTTATTCATATAACATAATATATATATATATATATATATTAATTTAAAAATATAAAAACGACTATATATCTAAACAGGATTTAAAAAATAAATAAATCAGATCAATATAATTTTAGCAAAATTTATACATATTTCTATTTAAATTATAATAAACTTAATTTTTTTGGATATGAATGGGCCATATCCTAAGTAGGCCCACCCCTGGTCAAGTAAAAGATCGAACTCTTTCTAATTTGTTCCTTCTCTTTAAAATAAGTTCAACAAATTAATGTATATTTTTTTTTATTATGAAAATCACAATAATTTAAAATTTATAAATCAGAATGCATAATTATCCTGCATCAGTTAAGAAATTCTTAATCATCTATTAAGACTATGTTAATGTAAATCATTTGATGACGGAGATGAATGCGTAAAATGCAGGAAACAATGGACCAGATATTCGAGGACATTTCCCGGCAGGAGCCGAAGAGGCATCACGGTGCGTGCACATCAAAGATGATGAGCATGACATCAAAATGCAAATTGATATTCCGAGTAGGATTGTAAATAAAACCAAATTAATTGTGAACTACTCAAATTTAACTCGATTAAGATTTGATTACCACTCCAACAAAATAAATTCAATTTGAACTCATCTCAAATTATTAACAAGTTGAAGTAAATTACTTTATACCCATCTCAAAAAACTCGCAAACAACTCAAAAATATATATTAAAATTTTAATTTCTTAAGTTAAATTTTTATATAATATAAAATTTTTATATATTTAAAGTTCAAATTCAAATTCGAATTTGAGCTTAAACCAAACTCAAATTTAAACTTCAATCAAACTAAACTTGAGAATATTTCAAGTTTTTCTTAGCTCAAGTCGAATTTAACTATTTTAAGCTTTGACCTTTTGAGTCAAATCAAGCTTTAATTTTTTATTTTAAATTCGGGTGAACTTCACAATTTTAAATTCGTAAATTTTCGAGTCGAGTCAAATTCAATTTTAAACTTTTTGGCTTCAGCCCCACAATACTTGAGCTCAACTCAACTAATTTACGACCATACTTGGATGGGAGGACTTTAAGGTGCACATAGAAGACGATATTCTTATTATTCAAGGAGAACACAAAAGGGAAGAATGCAACAACGATGATTCTTGCATAAATGGGATCTATATTTCGTATGATACTCATCTACAATTACCCAACAATTGTTAAAAAGAATGTAGCTCTATCTCCATGCCCTAGTCAAAGGTTGATGTTCAAATTCAGTAAAAATTTTCGAGTGGGTGCCTTTTTGTATATTTTATCTTATGCAACGTTTTTTCATTAGTATGAGAAGATTACAAAATAACATTTATTCGAAAGACTCAATCATTTGACAATAAACGCTCAAACACCTCTACAAACGTTATATTCAAACTTGAGTCCTCAAGAGATAACAACTATCCTTGTACTCACTGAGAGTGTCTAAAATTAAGTATATTAATTTATAGTCAAAACGACGAAAAGAGCCCATGTTTCGCTCTAAACAAATTCACATCTTGGAGTGGTATAATGTAACAAAAAATTGTGCTCAAAACTAGGTTTTTGCATTTTTCCATTAACTGGAGACGAAGTCAATAAATAATCTCACTTCAAAAGCCAAGATTTCCAATGCAAATGTCAACATTGAACCCTTACTCCAAACCCTCTTATTTCTTATTTTCCTACTCGAGCAAAAGCCAATATTCTTTCGGTTAATACTTGAGAGCTACGTTTTACATGCATGAGAGTTGAGAACTAAACCCTATTCAACACTGATATACATACAGGTTAAGCAAGCAGACTGGAGATTACACAGGCAATGGAGAAAGAAGAAATTCTGGTTGTGATCTCTGTAGCAATATCCCGCAGAGGGGGCATAGTGGTTTAGAAGCTACCTTTATAGAAGAAGGGGGTGAGGAGAGTTGGGGCATCGTAAAAAGCGACTCCGGTGCAAGATTGGAAATCCATCTCTGACAACACTTGCACTGCCATAATGGGGTAGTAATAGGGCAAACCTGCATAGAAACAGCACACCTTGCTAACTTATGCTTCTGCCCATTGCTATCATTGCTCTCCAAACCCCTACACACGGCAAATTCTGGGGAATCAAAAGGAACCAATGCTGAACAACAGCTACATTGCTCTTTTTCTTCTTCAAGTTTTCTGTGTCGTGACCTGCTTTTCGGTAAGAAAAAGAGACTAAAAATTAGTAAGAATTAGGCATAATAGAGAATAGAAAGATTGGCATCCTCAAATGCCTAAGTAAAACAGAGAGGATTGCATTAATGCAAGAGTCAAAAACTACTTTTTTCAACATATTTTATAAAGCCATATACGATCAAGAAAGTCTGCCTACCAAGATGATACCTATCAACACAGAAAGATTAAAATTACTCGTATATCAGTTATGAAAGCAAGGATGTGATCATCTTGTTCATGTAGAATGAAGTACCCCGAATAGCACCTTTTATAGGTTTTAATCTTTGTTGCCGCGGCTTTTTGTTGCTTGTGTACATGACGATTATTATTTGCAACCCACTGCTCCATCTGTGCTATACCAAGAGGATACCAATATCCAGGCTCAGAGGTGGACGAACTGGATGCAAGACTTTTATAGGCGGAAAAACTAAAACCCACAAGCCTCTCTCGTAGTTCTCTTTCACTGCTTGAAAGTAACTCC